CAGACGACGGCGGGCGGAACTCGGGTTGACGAGACGCTAGACTCTCACAAATGACACTGCCGTCAACCGGCGTGTCTAATGCAAGAGTTTTGTTGTTCTCGATTTCCGTCGTTTCCTTCGTCGGGCCCACGCGATTAACGAAAAAGAAAAAGGGTACCGGCCTCTTTTGGATGGTGTCGGCCGTGGATTCGCCGGTACCGGCCTCCGTTTTTTTGTTTTGGTACCTTAATCTTTCAGGGTTGGTACCGGTCCTCGTTCTGGGCTCTTTTTTTCTTGGTACCGGCCTCTTCTTTTAGGGAACAGCCTCTTCCTCCGACGATTTCGCCGCCGATTTCGGCGAAGCACAATCTACTCCTTGTTGGTGTTTGAAACCTACCTGCACAGCGCAGCTTGCGCATCATTGCAATTCCACCTACAACACTGTTCTTGTTCTTCTTTGGATCTGGCCTGGTTTCGTTGGTGCAACACCGTTATTGTACTTGTCTGGATCTGGCTTGGTATCGTTGGTGCAACACCGTTCTTTTTCTTCTTCGACTATGGCTCGCAGAGGTAAGTGCAATGAGGTTGTCACTTCCCATAGCCTTGGCTGATGTATGCTCGCCGATCCGGGTGGGGGAAGAATCGTGATCCCCCCCACCTTTTTTTTTTCGAAAAAACAGTTAAAAAAGCTCTCGTTGATTGCTACATTGGTGATACTCACTTCCCATAGCCTTGGGTTATATATGCTCGCCATACTAGGTGGGGGGAGATTAGCGATCTCCCCCCACCTTTTTTTTTCCGGAAAAGCAGTAAAAAAACTCTCCTTGATTGGTACATTGGTGACTGTCACTTCCCTTAGCCTTGGGTTATCTATGCTCGCCAAACTGGGAGGGGGGAGATTCGCGATCTCCCCCCACCTTTTTTTTTTCGAAAAATCAGTTAAGAAAGCCCTCGTTGATTGGTACATTGATGATAGCCACTTCCCATAGCCTAGGGTTATGTATGCTCGCCAAACTGGGTGGGGGGAGATTCGCGATCTCCCCCCACCTTTTTTTTTTCGAAAAAGCAGTAAAAAAGCTCTCCTTGATTGGTACATTGGTGACTGTCACTTTCCATAGCCTTGGGTTATGTATGCTCGCCAAACTGGGTGGGGGGAGATTTGCGATCTCCCCCCACCTTTTTTTTTT